TATACATTAATACTGTATTGTTGACAAGAAGGATAACACAACTATACATTCATACTGTATTGTTGACAAGAAGGATAACACAACTATACATTCATACTGTATGTAATGTTATTCAAAAAGCCCCGATTCATATCTTCAGAGAAGAGTATGGCTTTCATAGAGATGATAAAAAGAGAAAGACATTTTAGTTCATTTCATTATAAATATAATGGTGAAAAGTTTGATCGACATTAGTAGATGTACACTAAGTAAAGATATTGTATTTTGCTTTGTTTGTTGTTTATTTTCAAAATTACAAACAAGGATTGGTCTTGCTTCTCAAGGTTATTTCAGACTGGAAAAACTTGAGTTTGATTTTAAAATTACATGAAAATAATAAAGAATGTGTGGTGAATTGGCTAAACTTTGAAAAGTGACTAAATAGTGTGAATACAATTGACCAACATGAGCAAACTAAAATGGAAGTAGAGAAATGTTTTTGGCATCTCATAATTTAGCTTTTCATAATACTGAGGAATGTGATATGAATGAGCTTGTACAGAATTGTTGCAATTTCCTTGGATTGTTGAAATTATTGGCTGAATTTGATCCAATCATGAAAGAACATTTAGGTCATGTAAGAAAGAATGAAATATACACTTACTACCTCAGTTAGACCATCCAAAAGAAATTAATTAGTTTAATGGCTAAAACTGTGAAAGGTGAAATATTAGAAAAAATGAGAGGGGCAAATTATTACACATTTATTTTCGACTGTACAAAAAACATGAGTCATGTTGAACAAATGATAATGATGTTACACCATGTTGAATGTAATACTGAGGAAACTGAAGAGCTTTTTATTGGTTTTATGTTGGTTATAGAAACAACAGCAATAGGTCTGTCTAAAATCATTTTGGCAGAAATATAAAACCGTAGCTTGGACTTCCAAGATTGTCATGGACAAAGCTATGACAATGGTGCAAGTTTGTCTGGTGAAAATAATTGTGTAAAAAATCAAGAATAGTTCAAATCACTCAAGGAGCTTTCTTCTGTCCCTGTGATTGTCATAGTTGAAGTTTGGCCTTAAGATATACTGCTCCATCTTGTACAAGAGCTGAAATATTTTTTTGGTTTACTTCAATAGCTTTATACTTTATTTTCAGCATATTCAAGCAGATGGCGTATATTAAAAGAAAACATAAACTTTCAGAAACTAGATGGGATTGCTGCTTGGAAACTTGTTTGATTTCAAGTGTGATGCTTTACAGGAACTATTGGCAAATTGTAAAGGTGATACCAAACATCTTAGTGAACGCTATTCTGTCTATTTTTTAGCATATCTTATTATATGGTATGATCTTTTAATAAATGTAAATACTGTAAGTAAATAATGGCAGCGTAATAACACGAGTTTTGGACAGCACGAAAGCACATAAGAGTTTTTAAATGGATTGGTGAGTATAGATCAAAAGGCAGTACTTTCAAATGCCAACAATCCGGCAGAAAGTTTAGGAAAAGAATTCAAAAAGTGCAACAGCAAATAAAGAAAAATTTTTTTTTAATTATGAAAGTGAGGATGACTGTACTAAAGAAGATTCATTATCTTAATTTATCGTTGATAATATATGTGTAAGTACTGAAATACGATATAAGGCTTTTAAAATATGAGGAAATGATATATCAAAACTTTGCACTATTACAGAAAAACGTTTGTAACATTACAAAGATCTTATGATTAAATTCAGCTTCAAGGGTTTATGTGACACCAATGAATTAGAGAAGATATTTCAGAAGAACATAAATTGCTTTGTAGATTATCCCATCTAATACCAATATAAACTGTGCCTTGAAAATTTATTGTAGAAAATGATTTATGTGAGATCTACCCAAATGTATATGTAGCACTGCTCATAGTCCTGACTGATCCACCTACTGTTGCTTTGGCAGAAAGATGTTTTTTGTCGTAGACTTATCAAAATGTATCTATGTTCTACCATGTTTCAAGTAAGAGTAGAACTGTTATTTATAATAGATGGTGTATCAGACTCTTTAAATTTTTCTGATCTGATTAAGGACTTTAGTGCTCAGAAGGGTAGAAAAGCAATATTAGTGTAATAACATATGTCTCCTTTAGATATTAAAATCTTGTCTATTTGTATGCACTTTCACTTTGTTTATATATTTTCGAGCAAAGTCCATCTTACTGCACAGACATGTATTATTTTGAAACCTAAATCAACTAGCTGTAATGGTGAAACATTGGCTTAAGTAAAACCAATTATGTTTTCTGGAGTAATAGGTTGTGTTTTATTTCTTCTTTTAGCAATGAATAGAACTCTCCAGTTTGCACTACAAATGTTAATATCACAGACTGTATTGCAGAGTAAATAACAAATAATTTGTCTTGTCAATTGGGTTTTAAAGTAACTGAACCACACTGTGTGGACTTTGGACAAAAAAGGGACAATTATTTAAAGCTCTGGATACAACTATGGTAACCAACAGTCATAGGAGTGATTTTAAAGTGGAATTATCATAGATTGTATTGTAATAACAGAGTAGGGCAGAATAATTTGTCTTGTGAAAGGGTCTTCTAAAGTAACTGAACCAGCCTGTGTGGACTTTGACAAGAAAGAGAATTATTTATAGCTCTGGATACAACTGTGATATGTGAAATAAATAATTTGTCTTGTCAATTGGGTTTTAAAGTAACTGAACCACACTGTGTGGATTTTGGACAAAAAAAAAAGGGACAATTATTTAAAGCTCTGGATAAAACTATGGTAACCAACAGTCATAGGAGTGATTTTTGAAGTGGAATTATCATAGATTGTATTGTAATAACAGAGTAGGGCAGAATAATTTGTCTTGTGAACTTGTGTTTTAAAGTAACTGTACCAGCCTATGTGGACTTTGACAAAAAGAGAATTATTTATAGCTCTGGATACAACTGTGATAACCAACATTGTAACAAACATTTGATTTGTTTGATATATTGTTTTAAAACAAGTGAACTGTGTGCTGTTTATTGTTGATATTTATCGCCAACAAGTCACATACACCTACTGTAAAGAATCCGGCCCTATAAAACATGACAACGTTTTCTTGGAAGCTGACATTTATTTACAGTGGAGAGTCTATGGAAAATTTGTCAATTTGCATGCTCCCACATTGATCTCACCATCTATTGAAAAAGCTAAGTTATAGTAGAAGTAGCAATATCATGTAGTAGTGATTAACTATGGCTATCTGGCTGAGCAAATTGATGGAGAGAGTTGTTCCAAGGGTAGCCCAGAGAGCACAGTCAATGGAAAGAGTAATTTCAAGGGTAGCCCAAGAGAGCACAGTTAACAGAAAGAGTAATTTCAAGGGTAGCCCAAGAGAGCACAGTCAACAGAAAGAGTAATTTCAAGGGTAGCCCAAGAGAGCACAGTCAATGGAAAGAGTAGTTCCAAGGGTAGCCCATGGGAGCACAGTCAATGGAGAGAATAGTTCCAAGGGTAGCCCAGTCAATTGAGAGAGTAGTTCCAAGGGTAGCCCAGTCAATCGAAAGAGTAGTTCCAAGGGTAGCCCAGAGAGCACAGTCAACAGAAAGAGTAATTTCAAGGGTAGCCCAAGAGAGCACAGTCAATGGAAAGAGTAGTTCCAAGGGTAGCCCATGAGAGCACAGTCAGTGGAGAGAATAGTTCCAAAGGTAGCCCAGTCAATCGAGAGAGTAGTTCCAAGGGTAGCCTAGATATTAGAACATTGTTCACCGAAAGTGCAATTAAAAACTGATTCTTTTGTCTTAATGTATATCTAATTGTCAAATTTAATGAAATATTAAAAAAAAAGTACCCAAACCTCTGTAACTAAAAGATATTTTTTTATATATACTGTTTATGAATGAAACTTGAAAATTTGCTTGTATTAAATTGAAAATACCATTATCTTGTATCGTTAATATATGTAAAGTCTACAAATATAGATAAATGTACAGTGCTACTCTTTCTATATTTGTTTATCTGTCATATTTTTTTCTTACCCTCTCCCTAAAAGAAGTCAAGTTTTTTCCTGATACAATGAAGCAAATTCCTGCTGCTTCCATAAAAAAAAAATATATTTTGATACATTGTCTCAGTTTTCAAACTTGTGAGTCTAATTTGATAGTTAACGTATCCAGATGCTGTGATGGGTGAAGCTTTGTTAATAAAGTATACTGATGATACAGTTTCTAGTGTGAATTAAATCCCATCCAAACAAGTTCAGGGTTTTGAGATTTTATTCATATGCTTCTTCTGATTTGTCATGATTTTTCTTTGTCTGAAGGAAATTACATTAGATATGAGTGTTAAAACCTTTTTTGAAACAAAAGGATGAAGTTACACTCATCAATGATTTATTGTTATGTTGTTCTTCCTTCAAGGTCAAGGTGGAATGACGAGGGAAGCCACACTTACTTTAAAGCATGGTGTCGAGGCAAAGAGCTACGAAGGGGTAGGTAGATTGAAACTCTTTGTCACCCTTTTGAGGGATGTGAAACAAATTGTACTGTATTATGTTGTTACCTTTATAATGATTTGGTAAAAAATAAAGTTTTAGTGAATTGTTGAAATAACCATGTCCAAATATTTCACAACTCTGTTAAATTACTCTATGTATTTTTAAAATAATATTGATAGTTTTAAAATATGGTTTCTAAAGTATTTCTTTAGTGTGATTACAACCTTTACTTTAGCTTGAAGAGGTTGGAAAGTTGAAACCCCTGGAAATCGAACTGCAGAAACTTGAGGATATGTCAGAAGCTATTGTCAAAGACTTTGCATACATGAGGCAGCGAGAAGAAGAAATGAGAGGCACAAATGGTAATGGTTTTGCATGAATTATAGAAAACTTCTGAATAACTATAGCATACGATATAAGAAACTGTTTAAAATTGTTAGGGTTTTGGATAATCTGGATATTAGTTGTCTGCTTCGATAGAAAAATAAATATTTTAGTTATATTGGAGGTAACAAGTTTAATTTTTGGACCAATCATGTTTTTTAAACAAAATTATTCTTTATAAGACTGGTGAAATGGTTTGCCTAATGATGTAATATGTGTTGTGACTGGTGAAATGGTTTGCCTAATGATGTAATATGTGTTGTCACTGGTGAAATGGTTTGCCTAATGATGTAATACGTGTTGTTAGTTTAAAATAGTCGAATAAATACTTTGACGTGATGGGTTATGTTAGTTGGGTAGTTTGATTAGGGGAGCCATTCAATCGCCATACTAATTTCTATGTACATACTAAAAATGCATACAGTAATATTACCGTAATAGTAGGAAAGTAAACTCAGATTAAACAGCAAAATACAGATGTTTGGCTGATATTACTTTCAGAATAAAGCATCTTACTTAACAAAATGATTAAAAATGACATCACATTAGCGAATGTAGGAATAAAAGTTTTCCTAATGTTTCCAGATCTTTTAATGTTTAATTTGAATGTGGCCTGACTTTTTTTTTTTTACAGAGTCCACCAACACACGGGTTCTATATTTCAGCATCTTTTCCATGTGCTGTCTTCTTGCTCTTGCAACTTGGCAGGTTTTGTACCTCAGACGTTTCTTTAAAGCTAAAAAACTCATTGAATAAAGCTAGTGGCAAATAAAACTGTCCAATTTAGGTAAAAGGATTCTTCAAACAGTAAGTTTGGAGGTATTGGCACAGCACATTTGTCATATGCTCTTTTTTTTTTTCTTATACATGTATTATGTTTACTTCCTTTGTCAGTTTTGTATATGTAATGTTTGGTAATAAATTATTACAAAAAATGGTTATCTATTTTTATATTTAATCATAGATCAAACCGTTAAGTTTAGTGTAATGATGAACAACAGGCATGTCTAGTCTCAAAAAATAATCAAGATTACTTCTAAAGTGACGTTTTTTGACAGAATAAGTCGTTAGTCTGTAAAAAATCAAGCCATTGTTTTAAATGCCCATAAAGATAACTCTCTCAACAAGGAAGATATATCTTCTGGAAATTCTTCGGTTATCAGGTTTCTTGTTTTGTGATTTTTAGACAGTTGTGTTTGGCACATAGATAAGATTTTTGTGAAGCCCTAATCTAGAAATTGTAAACATTTTAAGGTGATCAGAATTCTGTTTAAACCCTATGTGGCAAGAAATTTACAAGTTACAGGGTAATATGTAATTAAAGTTTTTAGGCCCACTGAAAGTATCCAATTACATCACTTTTCAATATATAAAGATTCAGTAAACAAATGGAAGTAAATATTATAATCTGCTCAATATTTTAAATTATGGAAAAGTTTCAGATTTTAGGGGCAGATATAAAATATTATTCAATAACTGAGAGTACGAAATGTCAAAATAGTGATATATAAACTTTAAGACTAGATCCCCACCCCTCTCCAGCCTTCTATGCACTAGATCTAGATCCTCCAGTCTTCTATGCACTAGATCTAGATCCTTCAGACCTTCTATGCACTAGATCTAGATCCTCCAGCCTTCTATGCACTAGATCTAGATCCTTCAGCCTTCTATGCACTAGATCTAGATCCTTCAGCCTTCTATGCACTAGATCTAGATCCTCCAGCCTTCTATGCACTAGATCTAGATCCTTCAGCCTTCTATGCACTAGATCTAGATCCTCCAGTCTTTATGCACTAGATCCTCCAGTTTT